AAAACGGCATTTTCTAGGGTTTTAACATTTTTCACTTGGTTGCCAGGCCAGGCAGACACATCACACTCAAGATGTTAAAAGAGCAAATTGTCTCCCCTCTCCTCTGTCTGGCTCTTCCCTCTGTTCTCTTTATTTGATAACGTCCCATCCACCTGGTCAAACTAATAAAAACAGCAGTCTTCTAGCCTTTTCCCAGTTTCTAGACCCCTATGTTGACCTGTTCCCAACATGTTACCTCTCGATTAGACTATCTCAAAGAAGTTACTTTAAGAAAAAAAATTATAACAGTATATTGTTAATTGAGGACAATTTTAACATTTAATTAAACTGAGTTAAAAAACACTCTACCCTATTTAAGAAGGGATGGGTGCTGATTTTAGTCAGCAAACAAGACTAAATGGGGACCAACTGCAAGTTGAAATTTCATCCTATGTTATAGGATAAAAAATAGACAAAAATTGCTTTCATTTTATGATTTTATTTTGTGCTAAAGTGAAAAAAATTTTGAGTTTTATTTCTGAAATGTGAAATATAAGATTTTAGGATCTATTGCAGGGGTCCCCAACCCCCGGGCCGTGGGCGGGTACCAGTCCACAGCCTGTTAGGAACCGGGCTGCACAGCGGGAGGTGAGCAGCGGGCAAACCAGCGAAGCTTCAATTGCTGCTCCCCATCGCTCAAATTCGTCCATGGACAAATTTTCTTCCGTGAAACCGGTCCGTGGTGCCAGAAAGGTTGGGGACCACTGATCTATTGGGAGGTACTTGTCAACAGATAACATATTACAGATACAATCAGTCTGACTTTCTGGTAAATAAAAAGCCAGATTAGATTGAATTATCATTAGACTTTATTTTTTTTAAACACTGGCTTTTGACATATTAGTCACTAATGACTTTGTTGTTGTTGTTGTTTTTAATATTTATTTATTTGGATGCACCAGGTCTTAGTTGCGGCAGGCGGGCTCTTTAGTTGCGGCATGTGAACTCTTAGCTGCAGCAGGCATGTGGGATCTAGTTCCCTGACCAGGGATCGAAACCCGGGCCCCCTGCATGGGGAGCGTGGAACCCTATCCACTGTTCCACCAGGGAGGTCCCTCACTAATGGCTTTTGATTAGAAGACTATAACATTCTTTTCTGATGATGATCAACCACAGGTAAATTTGCAAAATTATCATTCTTTCCTCAGCATTAGAGTTTTGTAGTTTAGCCATCAGTACTCCTCATGCTTCCTGTCATAGATCTCGTGGTCCAACGTGGCTATTAAACAACTTATAAATAACTAAGACTGAAAAAAATTTAAGCTGTTTAATGGTAGAAACCATGACAGTGTCCATCGGCCCTCCACCCATGAACCCCCCCCGCACCACACATGCACCTGGAGGTGTTCCATGGTACCATTTGAAAGGGGAAAATAATAGAATACTTTGTTTATTTATTTTAAATAGATTTGTTTATTTTATTTATTTGTTTTTGCCTGCATTGGGTCTTCGTTTCTGCGCGTGGGCTTTCTCTAGTTGTGGAGAGCGGGGGCTACTCTTCGTTGCGGTGCTTGGGCTTCTCATTGTGGTGGCTTCTCTTGTTGCGGAGCACGGGCTCTAGGTGCGTGGGCTTCAGTAGTTGCGGCACACGGGCTTAGTTGCTTCACGGCATGTGGGATCTTCCCGGACCAGGGTTCGAACCCATGTCCCCTGCATTGGCAGATGGATTCTTAACCATTGTGCCACCAGGGAAGCCCTAGTGATTGATTTAAAAAGAAAGAAATTAAGACCAGTGCCATATCCACTTTTAATGGTGTGAACTCTTTGGAACTCCTCGTTAGAAATGTGCATCATCCCCCAGCCCTCTTATTTTTCTCAGTGATGCAGCTGAGGCTCAGGGAGAGGAAGGAAGTTGTCCAAGGTCCCAGAGCAAGTGTGTAAGAGAGGCAGGACGAGAACCATGGCTCTTATTCCTTACACTGCGTTTGGCTGGCCTGAGCCTGTCACACCTCACGCCTGCTCCCCGCCCATAGCCTGTGTGCTAAGATATGAATGCAGAGAAATTAATTGGATTTGTGTGTGTAGCTATGGAATTAGTGACACTCTTTATGTGGTGACAGATTGTTTGTTCATTTATCCATTCGATTGATCAACTGCTTTCTAGGCAACATGCAAGGACTGCTCACCCAGCCCCAGTCTCCCTGTTTGGCTTCATCTCCCACCCCTGCCCTCCTGCCCAGTTCACACCTCCTACATTCTGCTTATACTGGTTCAGGTATTTGTTTCCTCCAGAAGCTTTCTCTGCCTTCCCCAAGTTTGGCCTGGGTGCCCTTCCTCCCTGCACCCCATCCCAGCCTGTATCACACAGTATTATAGTTGCCTGTTAGTTATCTACATGCTAAGTAGGCTCACTTCTCAGACTAAGCACCATGCAGGCAAGAATCATCTTGTTCACCACCCTGCTCCCAGTGCCCAGGGCCTGACCCATAACAGGTGACCTGTGAATATCAATGCAGTTAATTACTGGCTCTGCCATTTCCTGTGCCCTCATGCTACACACAGGGCCTCTGCAGAGGGTGTTTCTTCCCCCACCATCAGTCCTTCCCTCCTTAAATTGTCAAGACCTAGGTTAAACATCTAAAACAATCAACAATTCTGTGAAGACTTTTCCCTCAACAGTCCCCTACCACACACGGTTAGTCCTTCCTTCTCTTGCTCCCATTCTCCCTGCCATCGCATGCCACTTAGGACACAACTGTCCCTGTGAGCAGTGACTTGTATCTTTTATCCTGGCCCCCTGGCACCTACACAGTGTCAGATACTGGTCAAGATGCTTAGAATTCAGCAGTGAACCCAGCACACAAAAATCCCTGTCCTTGGGCTTCCCTGGTGGCACAGTGGTTGAGAGTCCGCCTGCCGATGCAGGGGACACGGGTTCGTGCCCCAGTCTGGGAAGATCCCACATGCCGCGGAGCGGCTGGGCCCATGAGCCATGGCCACTGAGCCTGCGCGTCCGGAGCCTGTGCTCTGCAACGGGAGAGGCCAGAGCAGTGAGAGGCCTGTGTACCGCCAAAAAAAAAAAAAAATCCCTGTCCTTACAAAGCCCACTTTCTGGTTGGGAGGACAGACTACAAATAAAATAAGTAAAACGTAGAGCATTTTAGGAAGACGGGACTAAAGACTGTTAGAGACTTCCCTGGTGGCGCAGTGGTTAAGAATCCGCCTGCCAATGCAGGGGACATGGGTTCGAGCCCTGGTCCGGGAAGATCCCACATGCTGCAGAGCAACTAAGCCCGTGTGTCACAACTACTGAGCCTGCGAGCCACAACTACTGAAGCCCGCATGCCTAGAGCCCGTGCTCTGCAATGAGAAGCCCTTGCCCCGCAATGAAGAGTAGCCACCACTCACCGCAACTAGTGAAAGCCCCTGCGCAGCAATGAACACCCAAAAAAAAAACACACAAAAAAAGTCGAGATATGGCGGTGGGGGGTGGGGGGAGTTGTGAGGATATGAGGGGTGGAGGACAGAGCTCCAGACCTGCACTACCTGGGCAAAGGTCTAGAGGCTGGAGGGAGGGGACTGACTGCTATCAAGTTACAGCAAGGGGGCTGGTGTGGCTGGAGAGGCAGTGAGCAAAGGGGATGGCGTAGAAGGTGAGGTCAGAGAGGTAAAACAGCCCTCCAGATCACGTAGGCTTTCCGGTCATAAGAAGGACTTTAGCTTTTGCTCAGAGCTAAGAGGCACTGGTGGGTTTTTAGCAGAGAAGTGGCATGATCTTGTTCCCATTTTAATAGGATCACTCATGCTATATTGAGAAAAGACTGAAGTGGGAGAACGACATAAACAAGTGAGGGGCCTATTGTGACAATCCAGGTGAGAGGTGATGGTGCTTGGATCAAGGTGGTAACAGGAAGGTGAAGTGTGAAGGATGTGAAAGTGAAGAGTTAAGAATGGCTCCAATGTTTCTGACCTGAGCATCAGGGAGGATGGAGCTGCTACGATCTGAGATGGGGGAGACTGTGGGAGAAGCAGGTTTAATAGGGAGGATCAGAGCTCAGTTTGGGACCTGTTAAATTTGTTTTTGTTTTTTAAAATTTTTTGGCCAAGCTGAGCAGCTTGCAGGGATCTTAGTTCCCTGGCAGTGAAAGCACGGAGTCCTAACCTCTGGACCACCAGGGAATTCCCTGGACAGGTTAAATTTGAGATGCCTATTAGCCAATGGAAATGTCGAGCAGGTAGATGGATACACAAGTCTGGAGTTCAGGGGAGATGGTCCAGGCTGAGATATAAATGCAGGCATCTTCAGCATAAAGATGTAATTTAAAACCTTGATGACCAGATGAGACCACTAAGAGAAACAAGTAGAAGTGATGGGCTAAGTCAAATGCTGCTGATGGGCCTGGCAATGAATGAATAAATGCCAGATCCCGTTAGACCTGCAAAGTGCTGGTCATTATTGAGGGTTAGCTAGCAACAGATGGGTAAAGTACCTTCTGGGTACAGAGACAAAATGGCTCTAAGCCATGGGAACACTGGAGATAGAGGGGATGAAGAACCATGGCGTCTTGGTCTTGGAAAGGACATTTAAATAGGTCATTCAATCTGTACTCTTCCCCCTACACTTTGCCTGATCATTGAATCCCTGGCTTTAGAAAAAGAACTGTGGGATACTGAGACAACCAGTCTGGTTAGGACAGAGAAAGCACAGTTGAAAAATGAGTGGGAAATGACCTTCAGGAGTCAGAAAATCAGGGTTCAGGTCCTGCATCTGCTGCTCCCTAGCCTCGGGTCCTTAAGCAAGTCACTTCACCTCCTCCAGCCTCGGTTTCCCTGCATGTAAAGATGGGAGTAATCAAACCTTCCTTGTCTCTCCCAGGGTTGCAGAGAGGTCTGAGTGTGGCAGTGCTTGGGGTAGAGTAAATGCCCTGCAGGGGTTGGTTATTCCAAGAGCAAAAGAAGCAGGTCCAGAGAAGCCATCAGCTTGGAACAGCAAGGTAAATGGGGATGACGAGGGAACCGCCATGTCCTCAGAGGGTCTGCAGGTGGAGAAGCTAATGAGGATTCAGGCCAGGACCTGGGCTGGAATGGACAGGCTTAAGTGGCAAGATGGGGTCATCGGACAGAAACCCAGGCCTTGAATCTGCCTCCAGTGAGCCTGGAACCGAGATGTTGGAGACCCTGAGGCAGCGGCAGAGAAAAGAAATAGAGACACCGAGGCAGAAAGAGACCCCGAGACAGAGAGACGAAGAGACAGACCCAGAAACAAGCTGCCCAAATGCGGGGGGGCGGGGGCCATGGCGATCCGGAGAGGGCGAGGCAGAGGGGCGCAGACCCTAGCAGAGCTGAGCCCCTGCGCGGCGCAGGTCAGAGCGCGCGGGCCAGAGTCCCCTGCGGGGCCCGACCAGCCGCGCCCGCTGGGCGCCCCCGTTCGGGCTGCTCGCCCAAGATGGCGATGGAGGGGCGGGCGAGCCGGCGGCAGCCCGGGCCCCCGCGCCGGCCCCCGCTCGGGCCGGGGCCCCCGAGGCCGCGCCCCCGCCCGCGGCGCCGCGCCTCCCCGGGCCACTGAAGACCGGCGCGCCCTCCCCCGGCAGCGGCGGCCGAGGCGCGGGGAGGAGGCGGCGGCGGCGGCGGCAGCCCGGGCCGGGCCCCATGGCGCGGGGGTACGCTGGCCGCGGCGGCAGGCTCATCGCGCTGACCTTCTGCCTGCTGGCCGCGCGCGGTAAGGGCGGGCGCTGAGGCAGTGGTGGGAGCGGCTGCGGGGTGACTGTTCGTCGGCACCCGGGGCTGAGCCGGCTGTGGGGCCGGCGCGTCCCGAGTCCCGAGCGAGCGCTGGGGCCGGGGCGGGGTGGGGGGTGCGGGCTGCGCGTCCTTGTGCCCGCGATGCCTGCGCTCTGGGGTCTGCGAGCCGCGGCCGGGGACGTTTGCGGCTCGTACTTGTCCGCAGGGGGTGTGTGTCCTTGGTCTGCGGAGTCCGGAGTGAGTGTGTGAGTGTGTGTGTGTGTGTGTGTGTGGGCGCGCGCGACCGCGTGCAGAGAGTGGGGAGGGGGCTTCTGCGGGGCGTATGTGTCCGCAGCGCGTGGCCGGTCGCGGCGTGGCATCGCGGGCCGTGGCTGAGGTGCCGGTGGTTTGTGCGGGGCGGGCTCTGCCTTTACCGCGCGTGTCTCCGGGTTGGAAGTGTAAAGGGGTGTGTGTGGGGGGGGGGCGTCTGCACCTCCATTTGTGTGTCGAGAGCGTGTGTAATTGTGTTTATGGGGCTGAGCTAATATTTGGCCTTGGCTTTCGGAGAGTGTCCATGCCCTTGGTGGGGGGACAGAAGCATTAGATTGCGGATTGACTGGGAATAGTGGTGATAAAATACTCAACTTTGTCTGGTGGGTGTGGTCCCTGAAGCTGGGTGGGGCTGGGCGGAGGGGGTGGGGAGCGCGGGAGTGTTGCCCCCTCCGAACCCGAGGCCGGGAGTGGGCTGGGGGAGGGCGCAGGAAACCAGTTGCTTTCGTGGACGTGTCCGACACCCGCTCTCAGGATGGGACGCGTGTCACTCCTGCCCCACCCCCAGGGGCAGATCTGAGAAGCGTGGACGGGGTCAGCAAGGCCTCCTCCAACCCCCCACCTCAGTGCGAGGTGAGGGTGGGTAAGAGTCAGAGTTGCCCTCGCTGGAGAGAGGGCTGGGGATGGGGTGACGGAGTCCCAAGCGTCTCTGCCTAGGAAGCCTTCTTCCACCCCCAGCCCTCTCCCTTTCGGTCCTGTATGCGTTTCGGGGCGGCCCGTGGGCTAGGTGGTTGGTAGGGCTGGGGAGGGGGATGGGCTGCCCGCTTTGTTCGCCTAGTTCTCGCCTTCCCAGCCGAGGGGGGAGCTGAGGATGTGTCCGGAGCCAGTCGGGGAGGGACTTGACGGTGGGGGTGGGGAGGAGGATTTCTCTCCAGCTGCTGTGGCTTTCCAGAGAGACTCAGCCAGGCCACGTGGGAGGGAGGCAGGGACGGCGGAGGGGGGAAGGAGCCTCCGCCTGGCCCGCCCCGGCCCATCTCCAGGAAGCCCAAACAGCGGGTGGGAAAGTCTCGGGAACTACTCGGACCCCCTCTCTGCCTACAAAGACACGCCCCTTTTCAGACCTGACTGCGGACCCGGCAGGAGGCCGCCTGGAGGCGGGGTCCCAGCGGCTAGGCTAGGGAAGTGGGGGGCCTGGGGTTGTCAGGTGGAGGGGGAGGGGAAGTGCCAGAGAGGCGTCTGTCCTCCTGGAGGCCAGGGGATTAACGAATAGTTGGGCCCACCCTCTTCTGAGAGCTCCGGACCGGGCTCGGGGTCATCTAGCAAAGCGGAATCAGGACTGGGAACTGCACTCACTCGGGCATTATGGAGTATCGGTGGGGCCTCCCTGCGAGGGGCTCAGTTTCCTCTCTGGGGCTCCCGAGTGCACAAGGCAGGGGCAGGGCCCGAGCTGGGGCTCCCTTGGCAGCAGTGTGCATGGCTGAAGAAACTGCTCACCCTCAGTCCTAAATCCTTTGAGTGTGCAAAGCTCGTCAGGCCTGGGGACACTCTTATAGAGTTCTGACTAGCCTCCCCGATCTGGACAGAGGCCATTTATTCATTCATTCAACAAATATTTACTGAGTACCCTTTTCGGATAGCACGTGACTGGTATCTGAAATATAGTAAATAAGGAGGAGACTGACAGGTAGTCTAGAAAGTTCAGGAAAGGCTTCCTCCAGGAAGCGGTAAATAATAGAGCTCAGTGCAGAGGGTCAGTTGGCCCTGCAGGAGAGTGATGATGGGGAGAGTTTTTCAGAGAGAACAGTATGTGCAAACGCTCAGGGGTGACTTCCTTTAGACCACTGAATGAAGCTAAATCTGGCTGGAGTTTAGAGCACAAGGCGGGAGGGTGGGGCAGGTTAGAGAGGAATGGAACAGGGGCCACAGAGTGTCAAAAGAGAAGGCTGAAGATGGAGGCTGGACCCAACTCATGAAGGGGCTTGTAAGCCCCACCGAGGTTTCTGGCCTGAGAGCCTGCATGAGCCCTTGGAGGGTTTTAAGATCAGCTTTGCATCAGCTCACTCCAGCCGATGTGGAGAATGATTGGACAGGATGGAGGCAGGAAGCTGTAGCTTCTTGGGAGGCTGTGGTAGTAATCCATGAGAGGATGTTGCTGGCAACTAGAGTAGTGGCAGTTGGGATGGCTACAGTGGATTCTAGAGATATTTAGGAAGTAGAATTGGCAGGATGTGAGGATAGATTGAGTTTGTAGAGAGTGAGGGAGAGAGAAGTAAAACATAATAGACACTTCAGCAGCTTCGACATGGCAAAATGAAGGGCTGGTGTTGGTGTCAAGATAGTGACTGCCCGTCTCCCCCGAACACTGCTCTTGGGTCAGGGCTTGGGAACTGGGGAGATGTATGCGAATGGGACTCCTGTCTAGGGGTGGTGGTGGGATGCCAAATGCTCTGTTTTCACCACATGCAAGAAGTGGGGTTCTCCCTTCCACCCAGTCAGAATTTGGGGGGTGGTGATGCCAGAGGTCAGTAGCAGGAGGGCTCTAAGAACAAGAGAGCTGCTTTCTCCTCAACGGGGAAACTCCCCCCTCCATCCCTTTCTCAGCCCAGAAGCTCAGAGACCAACTTCAGTTAGTTGGGGTGTTGGGGCCCTCTCTGACCTCATCTTGGAGGTTAGGGACCAGGTCAAATATATTGTGTTGGCCAAAAAGTTCGTTTGGGTTTTTCCATAAGACGGAAGACCTGAACAAATTTTTTGGCCAACCCAATAGTTTCTCTTAATAGTGAATCTAAATAATCCAGAAGTTATCTAAACCTTCATTGATCTTGTATGTATTTTCATGGCCCAAGTAATCATACATTATGTGTAAATCAGCATTTCCTTTCTTTCTCTTAAAGGTACGTTGTTTCAAGTTGAGTAATCCCACAGTTAGCATCATTGAATGTCAGCACTGAGGGGAACTTAGAAATAATTTTAGCATGAACCCATTTTACAGATGAGAAAACTGAGTGAATTCCCAGAGTTACATGGATGGGGACTGAACTGGGACTGGAAGCAGTCTCCAGGTTCTTGGAGCAGCCGTACTTTCCCGGGATTTGGTACACGTGAATGCAAGTTCCATCTCTCTTCACCCCCTCTCCCTCACCTGAGAAGTTATCAACAACTTTGGGCTTGGCCCCCCTCAGGTGGTGTGTTTGGGTCTGGGCTCTGGAATCCACTCTACTCCACCCATCCCCACCCACCGCATCCTGTTCTGCCTCCGCTGTTTCTGAGGTACAGAAACCAGACTTGACACAGAATTCCAGATGCAGAACAGATGTCATTGCCAAGCAGGCCTGGGGGCTCCCAGCTCCCCGGGTTGGGGGGAAGGAAGAAGAAGAGTGGTTCTGATGGGGAAGGACCCCAGCCCCAGCCTGGCCAGAGGCGGGTGACAGCACCTGAGGGGAGAGAAGAAAACCAGAGGGTGGATGACCTGGGCCTGACGTGCAGAGAAATGGAATCCTTGTCCTTGGGGCTGGCTGTGCTGCCAGCTAAATGCCTCACTGCTGAGGCTGAGGCATTCCTCTGGAATTGAGGGGCTGTGGGGTCACTGTGGTCCGGGAAGCCGAGGCTCAGTAAATTCTCTCTCAGGTGCAGACCTGAGCATGGAAGCTGGTGCAGAGCCAAGACTTCCAGATGGTTCCATAGGGGCTCATTACCTTGTCACTTAGTTTGGAGCTCTGGCAAATGAATGGAGCATAGAGAGACAAGGCTGGGCACACAAGGAAGGTAATTTTTTTTTTATACATCTTTATTGGAGTATAATTGCTTTACAATGGTGTGTTAGTTTCTGCTTTATAACAAAGCGAATCAGCTATACATATACATATATCCCCATATCTCCTCCCTCTTGCATCTAAGGAAGGTACTTTTAATCAGACCATCCATGTAGCAGAAGAGGTGAGGTAGTGAGCTCCCCAGTCCTGGTAATGTGTAAGTAGAAGAGTTTCTTTCAATGTGAGTTTGCTGTTCTGTCTCGGTGCTTCTTTTTTTTTTTTTTTTTAATTTATTTTTTGGCCGTGCCAGGCGGCTTGCGGGATCTTAGTCCTTATTTCCCTGACCAGGGATGGAACTTGGGCCCACGGCAGTGAAAACGCAGAGTCCTAACTACCAGACCACCAGGGAATTCCCTGTCTTGGTGCTTTTTAAGCATTTTGTTACGTGTCTCATAGGTGCCACAGAGTATGCTAGGCAGTTTCCACGTATATTATCCACGTCATCCCCAGCCCTGAAGGGAGTTCTTATAATTTTTCCAGATAAGGAAATTGAGGCTTGGAAAAGCATGAGGGGCTCTGTGTCTTATCTTTTTAAGTGTGTCTCCGCATGTCCACTCATCTGTTCAAGAACTGTTTATTGAGCGCCTACTATGTGCCAGGTCCTAGGAAATTAGAATGCTGACTAGGACAATAATCTTGGGCTTGTTGCCTCGCTGGCAGAAAGGCAAGTCAAAAATCTAGACTGCTAATTGCAATGACCCAGGTGCCCAGGGTCCTATAGGGCAGAAAAAAGGAGAGGCGTCGAAATCAGACCCCAGGATGGCACAGCTACTGAAGGAAGAGGGAGCAGCACAGGCAACGCATGGAACAGCAGTGTGCTTTCAGAGAACGGGAAGTGGTTTAGTCTGGTGGGGACCCAGGGTGACAGGGAACAGGAGGTAGGCAGGTCAAGCTGAGTGGCTTTGCTCTTAAGTCTGCTGAGGCTGAGCCTGTCTCCTGAGGATCACAGATGAAGGGAACGCTGCCTTCCCTGTGTCCCAGGCAACTGTCCCAAGTTCTCCTTCCAGCTGTTGTGGGAGGGGCTTAGTGTGTGGTATGGGAGGTGGCCAAGGTGGGGGGGCGGGGAAGGAGGTTTCTGGAAGAAACTGACTTGTGTCTCCTCGGAGAGGAGAGTGGTGATGGCGTCATGAAGAATTGCCCGTGTGGACCGAAAACAAATTGTAAATCTGGTGGGCTCTGAGATTAAAACTGACAAGGCATTGATGTTTGTGGCAAGTTCTTGGCTTAATGAAGGAGGCATCTCGGCTTTGTTCCCCACCCCATCCCCCAGTCCCAGGAACTCTCAGTTCCTGAGAGCTCACTGAAGAATGGAACCCTGGCTTATGCCAGGCCCGCACTAGTCCCACGAAAGAGCACTGAGCTGGCCCTGGGGCTCAGCAGCGAACCTCCTTTCTGTCTGGGTTCTAATTGGCCTCATAAAATCTAATTTATCCTGTAAATGGGTAAAATAATGTCAGAAGGAGATTGAGAGATGGCCCTGGGGCTCCTAAGCATAGAAGCTCCGTGTCTCTGGCAGGGTCCCACCGAGGAGACTGAGGAGAAGGGATTGTGGGAGAGGGAGTTCCCCTCGAGGCAGAAAGCTGGCCAACAGCAAGTGTCCGCTATGTCCACCCAGTCCTTAGAGGGAGCACTGAGAAGTGCTCCTGGGAGGGGCTTGGTGGTCCGCCATGACAGGGGACTGGGGGGTGGCAGGAAAGGCGCAGCCACGAAACCACTGGACAAACAAGGTCCACTCCCCAGAGCATCACTTTCCCAAAAAGATTTGGTGGTGTAGGAACCACATTTACATTAAAACAAATACTGCTGTGTCCTCTGCCGCTGGGAGAATTTTGGTGAAAATGAGAAATGTGGCAACTCTTCATTTTAAGACTGGGGAAACCGAGGCTGAAAGGAGGAAAGCAGACCCAACGTCATACAACCCATGGTGGACCCAGAACTCTGACCCCAGGCCAAGGCTTGTCCCGCCACATCCCATGGTCCGCCTTAGGCAAGAAGGCAAGAGGAAGAATGGCTAAGGGACCTCCAAGTGGCTACATGATGTGAGACCCAGGAAAACCCTTCCCTGGGGAAGGCAGGGGCAGCTTCACGGAGGGATGTGGCATCTGAGGTGAGCCTCTAAGGATGCACGTCCTGGGCACAGAAGTTGGGTTGGGTGCTGGGGCAGAGAGAACCCTCTTATTTGGGAGCAGCTGTCTCCTCAATGCTGGGTTCACGCCCAGGATGTCCTCAGACTGTCTCCCAGAGAGGTGAGAACCTCCCCTTTTGGGCCTCGGTTTCCCCATCTATAAAATGAGCAATCTCAGGCTCTGCATACGTTTCCATCAACGTGGGCCGGCTTGGGCTCCCGGCACAGCCCTGTACCCCCCCAGGGATCCCGGGTTCTCCCCACATCTACATCCCTGTTGGTTTCCCATTCCGCATTGCCTTGTTGGGTGCTGGGCTCCTCCGAGGTGGGGCAGCCAGACATCTGCTGATCCATGAATATTCAGGAAGGGAATCAGAGCCTCCTCTGGGCTCCCCAGCAAGCCCCAGCCCCTCTGGCCGCCGTCCTGCCCGCAGGAGCCCAGGCTGCTGACAGACCCAGCAGCTGCTCGGGCCCCAACTGTTCACATTGTTTGTTCAGCGCAGCGGGGGATTTTCCAAGCCCCGGACGTGCTTTGGGGGGTAGGGAGGCTGCCGGAGGGCTCAGGGATTCGTGTCATGTGGGGCTTTTCTCCCCTGAAACTCAAACCGACTGCTCAGCGGCCGGAATGGGGCAATTGGAAGCCACTGGGCTGAGAGCCCGGGCTGGCCTTCCCCCCACCGTGTTTGCATCAGAATCTAGGGCCTCAGATAGAGAAGGGACTGGATGTTAAGAATAGCAATTTGCATTTGTACATCCCTTTCCAGTTTACGAAATGCCTTTAAAGAATAAGCTCCCATTCTTTGATTGGTGCCCATTAGGCTCTGGGCTGGAGACCTGACCCACATCATCTTGTTTAATCCTCACAGGCTCCATAGTATCACCTTCATTTTTACAGATGTGGAAACTGGGCCCCAGAGAGGCAAAGTGGCTCGTCACATAGGTGGTAGGTGGAGCAGCAGGACTGGAACCTTGACCTTCTGCCCCAAGGTCAGATGCTCTTTCCACCCCAGCACATGGCCCTCAGTGATGCGAATGCCAGTTTGGTTTCCCCAGTTAGACTGGAAACTGAGTGAGGGCAAGGGCTGCCTTCTCCTCGCTGCACCCACTAGTAATGCTGAGCCCAGCTGTGTAGCTCGAGGTGCCAGCGGAGCCTTTAAGAAAGGCAGAGGCCTGTTCAGACCCTGTCTGTCTGTCCTTCCCACTGTGGTGTCACAGGCCTGGATTCTGCCCTGGCCTCCTTATCTCAGCCAGTTAGGACCTCTCTTCTCCCCTCAGTCTTGATCCTCTTCAGGGGTTTAAGTGTTGGCATATATGTGTGTCCAGGTGTTGATGAGTGTGGCAGAGACGGGGGGAGCACGTGTTTAGGTATGGCAGGTCGTGTCTACAGTTTTGTGTGTGTGTCTAGATGATGTTCTCTATCTGTTCAGGAGTAGGTGAGTCCAGCTCACTGAATAATCCTACCATCATAGAATCTTCGACATCACCCACTACATTTGAGTAAACTAGAGCCCAGAGGCGGAAGTGACTGGCCCAAGGCCACACAGCTAGACCGTGACAGAGCCGGGTCTAGAACTGAGGGTCGCCGGAGTCCTTAGCCATTGTGCTTTCTGCATGCCCCTGACAGGGCTCTGTCAGCCCTGGCCTGCCTTGTAATGAGTGTCCTCACCTCTGTCCCTGGCTCACTCTCAGACATACCACTACGCCTTTAAGCAAGGTGTCGGGCCAGAGGGTAAGAGGGCACCTCAGGCCATTAAGCTTTTATGGGACAGGAAGGCAGCAGGTCAACTGTCTGGAAGATACAACTGGAAGAGAACCAGCTATTTCTCTATGAATAACGGTTACTGGGCCTTGCTGAGATGTTGGTTAAAATGATAAGCTTGGCATTTGTGTGTTTTTGCCTTGACCCTGGGATGGCATTCCCTTCCTCCATTGTTCTCCTGCTCTTCCCTTTGCGGCCAGGGCAGTGTTGGAGCTGCAGGCTCTTCTGGGGCATCTGGAGAAGGTCAGGGACTGGGTTCTGCACCGGCTTGCTGCGTGGCTTTGGGGGAATCAGCTGCAGGAAGGAGAGCTTACCTCTCCCAGTCACTGCGGCAGAAGTGCTTTGGGTAATAGTGGTCAGGACGATCTGTAGGATTCCAGGAGAGGGAATGACATTACTGAGCCCCAGTTCTGTGCCAGGCCAGCCACTGTACTGTGTACTCCTTTACCACACAGCATCTCATTGAGCGCTCACAACAGCCCTCTGAGGAAGGAATGACTAGGTCTTTTTAAATTGAGACGCAATTCACATACCAAAAAATTCACCGTTTAAAGTGTACAAATCAGTGGTTTTAAGTATATTCACAAGGTTGAGCAACCATCACCACTATCTAATTCTAGAACATTTTCATCACCTAAAAAAGAAACCTTCGATCCCTTCGCCATCTCTCCTCATTCTTCCCTCTCCCTGGTCCCTGGCAACCATTAATCTACGTTCTGTCTCTATGGATTTGCCTACTCTGGACATTTCACAGAAATGAGATCATACAATATGTGGCATTTCGTAACTGACTTCTTTCACTTTGAGGAAAGTTTTCAAGGTTTATTCATGTTGTAGCAAGAATCAGTACTTCTTTTGATGGCTGAGTGATATATTTATCTGTTCATCAGGTGATCGGGCATTTGGGTTGCTTCTCCTTTTTTGCTAAGAACTGTGTTATTTTGTGGATGAGGAAGCTGAGCAGCGGGGGAAGGATGGGAACGCAGTGCAGCCGTTGGCCCGAGATCACAGTTAGTCAGAGGCAGAGCCAGGATCCAGACACAGGTCTCTCCATGAGACCTCTTTCTCTGAGGTTTGCCCTCCTCGACCTGGGGTGAGTGACTTCGGGCTCCGGAGGCTGTGGGATGTAGGAGGACACACTGATGACCCTGGTGCCCCCTCCTCTACGCAGGGGAGCAGCCGTTGCCCCGGAAGACGACCGTGTCGCTGAGCTGTGGAGCAGGGCCGCTGCAAGTGATCCTGGGCCCGGAGCAAGCCACAGTGCTGGACTGCGGTCTGGGGGCGGCTACTGCAGGACCCCCCCCCAGCGTCACGTGGAGCAAGGATGGAGGCATCCTGCCCGAGCACGACCACCTTCGCCTGCTACCCAATGGCTCCCTGTGGCTGTCCCGGCTGCCAGCTCCCGAAGGCACTGACCCTGGGGCTTCAGAGGTCATTGAGGGCAGCTATTCCTGCCTGGCCCACAGCCCCGTTGGAGTGGTGGCCAGCCAGGCTGCGGTGGTCAAGCTTGCCAGTAAGTGCTACATCTTGGACTGAGCTGAGGCCCATAAGACATGGGGTGTGGGAAGTGGGGTCTGCAGTTAGATACTTGCACAAAGGTTTGTCTCTGAGCCACGCCCCCTTTCCCTGCCTCCTGTGCTGCTCAGTGGGTCCCTTCCTCACTGTTCAATAGTCTCACTTCTTCCCTGCTCTTCTGTTCCTCCTCCTTTTCCTTCCCTGTGAGTTTGAGAGTCTAGACTCGTGCTCTCCTCCAGGAAGCCCGCCAGAGAGGTTTCTAAGCATGTCAGGGGCACAAAGATGCTCCCCACCCCCATAGCAGGTGGAGTGTGTAGAGCCGAGCTGTGTTGTCCAGCTCACTCACTCTTGGGGGTTTCTCAGGAGGCACAGATCATCACCATGAAACAATTTGGGAGCCAGAAGAAATGTACATCTTACTGTAGTCCAACCATATGGTGATGTAAGGCAGGGGGACTTTGGAATTCATTCTGCCTGCAGCATCTGACCAGTCATCACCACTTCTTATTCTCCGACTGCCTCTTTCCAACTGTGTCTCCGTTGGTCTGAATTCTTTTTGCATGTGTTTCTGTCAACCTGTGTCTCTGTGTCCAGTGACTTCGGGCTCCGGAGGCTGTGGGATGTAGGAGGACACACTGATGACCCTGGTGCCCCCTCCTCTACGCAGGGGAGCAGCCGTTGCCCCGGAAGACGACCGTGTCGCTGAGCTGTGGAGCAGGGCCGCTGCAAGTGATCCTGGGCCCGGAGCAAGCCACAGTGCTGGACTGCGGTCTGGGGGCGGCTACTGCAGGACCCCCCCCCAGCGTCACGTGGAGCAAGGATGGAGGCATCCTGCCCGAGCACGACCACCTTCGCCTGCTACCCAATGGCTCCCTGTGGCTGTCCCGGCTGCCAGCTCCCGAAGGCACTGACCCTGGGGCTTCAGAGGTCATTGAGGGCAGCTATTCCTGCCTGGCCCACAGCCCCGTTGGAGTGGTGGCCAGCCAGGCTGCGGTGGTCAAGCTTGCCAGTAAGTGCTACATCTTGGACTGAGCTGAGGCCCATAAGACATGGGGTGTGGGAAGTGGGGTCTGCAGTTAGATACTTGCACAAAGGTTTGTCTCTGAGCCACGCCCCCTTTCCCTGCCTCCTGTGCTGCTCAGTGGGTCCCTTCCTCACTGTTCAATAGTCTCACTTCTTCCCTGCTCTTCTGTTCCTCCTCCTTTTCCTTCCCTGTGAGTTTGAGAGTCTAGACTCGTGCTCTCCTCCAGGAAGCCCGCCAGAGAGGTTTCTAAGCATGTCAGGGGCACAAAGATGCTCCCCACCCCCATAGCAGGTGGAGTGTGTAGAGCCGAGCTGTGTTGTCCAGCTCACTCACTCTTGGGGGTTTCTCAGGAGGCACAGATCATCACCATGAAACAATTTGGGAGCCAGAAGAAATGTACATCTTACTGTAGTCCAACCATATGGTGATGTAAGGCAGGGGGACTTTGGAATTCATTCTGCCTGCAGCATCTGACCAGTCATCACCACTTCTTATTCTCCGACTGCCTCTTTCCAACTGTGTCTCCGTTGGTCTGAATTCTTTTTGCATGTGTTTCTGTCAACCTGTGTCTCTGTGTCCGTGTGTGTGTGTGTGTGTGTGTGTGTGTGTGTGTGTGTTTCCCGTCTGCTCGCTGTGGCCTCCTTTCTTGTGTTCCTCTCCTGTCCCTGCGTTTTCTCACCGTCCTCACCCCCAGCACTTGCAGGCTTCTCCCTGCACCCGCAGTCTCAGACGGTGGAGGAGAAGGGGACCGCTCGGTTTCAGTGCCACATCGAAGGGCTGCCAGCACCTGTCATTACTTGGGAGAAGGACCAGGTGATGGTGCCTGAGGAGCCTCGGTGAGTGTCCTGTGGGCAAGAGGAGAGTGGGTCCCGGGGGGCAGCCAAGGAGGGCCCTGGGATGTGCTCCGGAACTGGGCTTCTTAGAGTCAGGGTGGCTCCGTTTGTCCAAACTGACTTAGGAGCCAACCACCACCTGACGCTCAGCCCATTTCTGGTCCCAAAGAGAAGTTGTGTCACAAGTGTTTGCTCCCTGGGAGGAAGGCCACCCACCAAGCTATGGGGCTTGGGTAGAGAGCAGTTATCGAGTCCTTCAGAGCATATGTAGTCCAACCACTTGCCTTATTGCGAAGGAGACCAAGGGCCAGAGAAGAGCTGTGCTTTAACCAAGGCCACACGGTGAGTCATTGGCAGAACATTTGTTGTTTGTTCCGGGCCCAGAGGGTTTCCCTTTGCAGGTTCCTCTGGAGTTTCTACCTTGGATGCATAACTTCTCTTCTTCTCTCAGTTCCGCTCAGTGGGGTGCAGCATCTGATAACCAGGTTGTGGAGGTCCTTCCTGTTTCACCCTCCTCTCTCCCCATAAAGGCAATGGAGCAATCCTAGGGAAGGGTTTCTAGGGCAGAAGAGAAGCAGAGGCTAGACCCAGGACCTGATCCCTACTGTGGCCTCCTGGGAAGGCCCAGAGGTACACACAGCATGTCCAGAAAGCACAAGGCTCATTTGCATCTGTGGTCTTGGAACTGGACTCATGACTCGGCTGCCACCACATGGAGTCTTACACCTTTGGAAATGTGGCTCCAAAGGCCTTTCCCAGCCATGCTGCCGTCCTCTCCCTGCATCTCTCTAGCTGTAGTTACCAGCTGACGCTCTCCTCTCCCAGCAGACGTGGGATTCCTTAGGCTCAGAACCACTGGTTTCCAGATCTCCCTGCCCTGGAACTAGCCTGTCTTCAGTGTATTGAGTTGTCCCATCTCCTCTGACTTTTGCCCGTGTCTAGGTAGGGGTGAGAGTGTAAGAGAAACTTCTAGATAGAAAAGCCCCAGGCCACATCCCTGCAACAGTTGTAAGTGAGGAAGAAGGGTGAGAGGTCAAGATATAAGTGATCCTGTTGACTTTGGTGATCGGTCAGCCCCACTGGTCCAGTGGGTTGGATTAGATCACGGTTTCCAAAGTGTGTTCTTTTTTAGAACGTTAGTCCCTAAAGATGATTCTTGAAAAAAAAAAAGTACTCCGCAGTCAAATAAGATGAGGAAACTGCCTATAAATCCCCCTCTTGGAGTTGACAAGGCCCTGAGAAGCCCTGTACTGAGAAACCTGTTTAACTTGTTTAACCAAATCCTTCCTAGACTCATTTGCCCAGAGCCCCTCTTGCAGGAACGCTGTTAACATCCTAGGAATGAGCATTCCAGGGAGGAGACCTTGGGAATGCTAACCCAGCCTTCCTAGCGCTGACATTTTCAGTTCTATGCCTCTTTTTTTTTTTTCTGGCCCTGCCGCATGGCTTGTGGGACCTTAGTTCCCTGACCTAAGGGATCGAACCCGTGCCCCCTGCATTGGGAGCACAGAGTCTTAATCACTGGACCACCAGGGAAGTCCCAAGTTCTGTGCCTTTTAAATGTGGAGCCTCTCACCGCTGTGAGCGAGTTGTTGGATGAGAACCAAGTGAGAGTCTACTCCTGGGACAGCCCCCAGAGAGGGTGGGAGAGAGCAGAAAACTCTCCCTGCGTTAAAAGTCACAAGAGGCTTCACTTCATTAGAGCTGTGTTTTCTCACTTAATCCTTCCCATGATCCTTCAAGGTAAGTGTTCCTTATTTTTCATATTTTCCTCTATTTACTTTTAGTTTATATTCCTATTAGATACATTTTTCAAATTCATATACACAAAAAAGAAGAAACAAAAATGGCTCGTCCTCTTATCACCCATAGAAAGCCTCTGTTAGTTTTGATGTCTATCCTCTGGACCTTTCCCCTGTATGTTTATAAATATTCTCTTTATATTGTACATATCATATTGTACATACTGGGTTTTTTGTTCAATCACCTTTTTTTTAGAAAACAAAAATGGGATTATATTGCAACTTCCTTTTTTTCACTTAACACATAAGGAACCCCCTTCCAGGTCTATCTGTATGGCTGTGGCAGATACTGTTATCTGAATTCTTAAATGAGGGAACTGAGGATCAGTGAAAGAAGTCACTTGCCCCAGGTCACACAGCTAGTGCTGAGAGTATCTGACAGCGGAGCCCTGGGGTGGATGATTTGGTGGTTGGAGTGGGGAAGCCACAGGGTCTGAAGAAACTCCTGTTGTAGGCTGGCTTAAAGTTGGAGTGGTCCAGCTGTGCTCAGAGCAGAGAAGTTACTTCCCCAAAGTTTCTCAGCAAACAGAGGCGTTCCCTCATCTCCCAACATCTAGTTCAGGCCTCTCCCAGGAGGCTGGAGCTGCCAGTTCCTGGCCTCTGGGAGTGTTTGCCCCCAAGTCCTCTGAAAAGTGATCCTCATCTATAAATAAGCCAGGCTCACATGTCCCAGCACATTGTGTGTGGGGGGGGAATAAAGAGATATCTAAAACAGCAACTTGATTATGCCCAAGGTATGTATTTTTACACATACCCAGATAGAGTTCACATAGAAATATGCTATTCATAAACTCAGCCCAGTGATTTGAAGGAGACCATATGCCTTGGTGTAGGCTGTGCACATGTGCAGTTAATAAGCACACTCCGTCAGGGTCTATGTTCATATTTTGGGAACTGATGGTAAACACTAGACCCCGAGGCAATTCCCTGATACTTATACTAATTTCTAATGATAGGGGATAATTTTTCTTCCACGGGAACCAGTAATCAATGAGAGCAAAGTTTCCCAGATCGCAGGCATTCACAAACCCCTGTCATATTTTTGGCCATCCCTCAACCATTTATACAACACTTAACTTAATACTTTTCTTCAAATCAACTCTCTCTTTTGTAACTTTAACGCATACTAAAAAGGAACATTATCTCACTGCAGTAAAATGGAAAACCAGCAGCACTGACCTTAAATAGAAGGTAGCCATAAAAATGAATATATAACCACTGGAATAAAAACCTGTGTCTAGATCCCCTTGAAATCATTTTGTTATCACCATTCACTCACACTTTAAAACCATGGCACTAATGGATTTAATTACTGCAGACTCCCTAGTCCAGTCCTCTGCCCTACCCATCTCCTAGGGTCCATCGTGTCTGTCAGCCTCATGTGACCCTCGGCTAGTGTCCCTTTTCCCTGGGTGGATCTCTGAACGGCTCAGGGTGGAGGCTCCTTGGCCCTCAGGAAATTCAGAGCAGCTGTCATTTCTCCTCTGTTCTTGAATCCCTGGGTCCAAGTGGGCTTTTGTGGGTACGGGCAGCAGGCTGAGGCTGAGGCTTGGAAAGAGAATGGTCCCTTCCTTTTAGCTAGAGGTTGCTTTTCATTCTATAAGTAGCTATTTTGTTTTATTTGAAATTTGAATTCATTTTAAAATGATAAAACATACTAACTTAAAGGGAAAAAAGTCACCTACAAACAGCACAGATAGCTGTTACCATTATCTAATGAGAGCTTATGACACGTTAACAGGGTCGGGGTTGTGAAGTAGGCAGGAATAATGAAACCCATTTTTCAGATGAGAAACCTGAGGCCTGGACATGTGATGTCACTTGCTAAAAATCACATATGTTGGAATCAATTCTCTCCTCTATGCCACAGCTGCTTTTATATTAGAGCCAGGAGGTACAAAACAAAGTGTACAAGGGCACATGCTTTATTCCATTTAAATTTTTTTAAGTTTTATATTTCCAAACGAATAAATGTTCACTGTAACCAAGAAATTTAAAAACGCAACAAAAAAGAGCCCCACAGTAACCCCACTCCCAGAGAAAACCTCCACGAATGACGTGAGCTTTACCACCCTTGACTTTTTCCGCGCACATCCTAGCGTATCATTTATCTATTTTCCAAAAATAGAATTGCTTCATAAACACTGATTTATGAATTCTTTCCCCCCACTAACCAATATGTCTTGGACATTCTTACAAGGACAGAGCTTTTTAAAACACATTTTAACAAAGCCGAAGAGATTTTTAAATGAATCACCTTTTTTTAGAAAACAAAAATGGGATTATATTGCAACTTCCTTTTTTTCACTTAACACATAAGGAACCCCCTTCCAGGTCTATCTGTATGGCTGTGGCAGATACTGTTATCTGAATCTGAAAGTGGTTCCATTTCACTTGTGTTGGCTCTAGCAACAGCACCACACCCGCATTCATTCATTCAACACACGTAATTAAGGCAATGTTACTTGTCAAAGGAGGTATTAGCTCTTGGGTACCTGGAGCACAATTTCAAGAGTGAGAAACTTTGGGGTTAGGAAGTGTGGGCAGCTCCTGGTGTGAATCCTGCTGACAACAGCTATGGAGACTGAGGAAGGAGGAAGGAAGGGTCTTAGAGGCAGAGAATATTAGGTGGAGGAGCCGTGGATGGGGATGGGGGCCTTGTTTCTGAGATGGGTCCTGCTTGCCCTTCCCCACTTGTCATTTCCCATCAAATTTTCCATGGCAGCAGGCTGGGTCCTGGCCCAGGATTTTCTCTCCAACCACCCTGCCCCTTCTGGTCCCCTCTCCCAGCACTGATGTGGACAGCTCTTGGAACTGAGGATAAGACTCTGGGGCAGAGATGGGTTTGCCTGTGGGCTGAGGGAAGGAGTGATGCAGGTTTATGTTTTTTCTCTAAGTCTTTGGGCCACAGCAGATTTCTAGGCTCATGGTCAGAATTCTCTCCCAACACCCTTGAGCTAGTTCTCTTCTCCTGTGTTTAGATTTTTCTCATACCCTGCTTTCCCCACGAGCCAAAGGGGTCTTCACCAAGTGCACAGCTGCCCCATTCCCTCCCTGACCTTGGCCTAGCCTACATCCACAGGCCACTTGCTCTAGTGAGAAATTAGAACTCTCACCCTCGAGCTGACCCTGCAAGGATCACAGCTAGAGGATTCAGGAAGACCCACTCCCTCCCTGCTTGGGCCAGAGCCCATTCTGCTTCCCACCACCCTGGCTCCTATGGGCACTTCCCTGCCTGGGATTGCACTGTCTCTCAAGCAAGGTCTCTGGGTCCTTCTAGCCCAAACTGCTTTCCAACCCTCACCAAAGGGCAGAGAACACCACTCTCATCCATCCTGCCCCTCCTCAGTAGTGTACGTGTTGACTGGGACTTGCTGGAGACCACCACGTCCCTTCCACTGGCATTCTCAGCCATCTAATGGCTGCTGAGACAAGCGAGTGAGAAGAACGTGGGATTTGGCACCAGAAGCCCTAGGTTCCAGTTTTAACTCTGCTCGAGCTGTGAGACCCCGGGAAAATACCCTACTCCCTCCAAGACTTAGTTTTGTCACCATTAAAATGAAGGCTGTGATCCCCTCTTATCCCTTGGGCTTGTTTCGAGCTTCAGATTAGATAGTGTGAATAGAAGGGATTTTATCAGGGAGACAGGAGGTAATACAGTCAGGGAGTAAACAAATTCAAACTATACAGAAGGTTATTTAATGAAAATTAAATCTCCCACTGACAGGTCCCAGGATCCCAGGTCCCCTCTGCAGAGATAGCCACTATTACCAGGGACATTCAGTGCAAAAGCATATAGGTGTATGCGTCACACACACACTGTTCTGTACCATACATATTTTGGAGATGGTCTTATAGCAGTACACATGGGACTGTCTCCTTTTAACAGCTGCCTAGCATTCCATTGTGTGAATGTACCCAGACTGATTTAGCTAGTTCCCACCCTACAGATGGACATTTGGACTGTTGCCAGTCTTACTATTACAGACAGGACTGGAGTGAATATCGTTAGACATACGTTTTTGTGTACATGTACGAGAATATCTGTGGGATAAAGTCCTTGAAGTGATGTTGCTGGTTCAAAAGGCACATGCAGGTTTGATCGTAAGATATCACCAGCTTGCCCTTGAAAGAGGGTGTATTGATTTGGCATGACCACCAACAAGACAGGACTGCCTTCCCCCATTCCCTCATCCACAAAGGGTGTTATTAAAAGATTGGACAAGCTATGTGGCCCCCCCAGAAAAAGAAGAAACAAAAAAAATTAAAAAAACAAAAACAAAACCTTTTGACCTTGGGGACTTCCCTGGTGGCACAGTGTTAAGAATCCACCTGCCAATGCAGGGAACATGGGTTTGAGCCCTGGTCCGGGAAGATTCCACATGCTGTGGAGCAACTGAACCCGTGCGCCAAAACTACTAAACCTGTGCTCTAGAGCCCGCGAACCACAACTACTGAGCCCGCGTGCTACAACTACTGAAGCCCACATGCCTAGAGCCTGTGCTCCGCAACAAGAGAAGCCACTGCAATGAGAAGCCTGTGCACCGCAATGAGGAGTAGACCCCGCTCACCGCAACGAGAAAAAGCCCAGGCACAGCAACGAAGACCCAACGCAGCCAATAAATAAATTAATTAATTAAAAAAAAACACTTTTGACCTTTGCTAATCTGATAGGTAAAAATGGTATCTTGTAGTTTTAATTTGCATTTCTTTTATTATGAGTGAAGCTTGAAGGTGAACTGCTCTAGGTATTTCAGGCCAGAGGGGAAAGTGGGTCCAGGACTATTTGGGCGTGCTACCCTCCCTGAAGAGCTCCTGCTCACCTCACAGGTGCCCTCTCTCTCTTCCCAAGGCTCATCACCCTTCCCAATGGGGTTCTCCAGATCCTGGACGTTCAGGAAGGTGATGCAGGCTCCTACCGCTGCGTGGCCACCAACTCAGCAAACCAGCGCTTCAGCCAGGAGGCCCTCCTCCGCGTGGCCCACAGAGGTAAGGGGGCTGCCTGGGTGCGGAAACCTGGGGGTTTCTGGAGTCGGCCATTTTGGAGCTGGGCGGGGCCTCAAGTAGTCCAAGGCCTGCCTTCAAATAAGTGACTGGCAAGGCGATGAAGCCCAGAGAAGGCACTGCCCCCCAACAAGTCAGAGATAGAACTGGGGCAGGAACCCAAGACTCCCAGTTTAGGGCTCTCTTCCTGCGAGGCTCTGTGTTCTCTTGAGTTGGGTGGAGCGTCCAGGAGTGGGGAGGTGAGGGGTCCGTGGAGGAGTGTCGGTGCCCTGAAACCCTGGTCCCCGGCCCTCTGTGTGCCCTGAAGGGGATTCACCCTGCTGCTGCTTGCTGTGCATCTGGTTCCTGATGGTCTGGGGCTCGTGTTCTCTCCATTTCTCTGAAAATCTCCCGTCCCAGGGTGATGCAGTAGGAAGGACACAGGCTTTGGGGTCAGAACGACCTGGTTTGAATACTGCCTTCTCTACTCACCATCTGCGTGACCCTGGGTTCCTTATCAAATGTCCAGCTCAGGGAGGTGGTGAGAATCGCTGAGATAAGATTGGAAAGTGCCTGGTGCCTAGCAGGGGCTCAGTAGATCTCACTCCGGGCCTCCCACTAGGGCCTCTCCCTTGCCTCCCTTTGCCATGGCATCTCCCCTCGACCCCCGCCCCTCCGTTCATCTCTTCCCATCCCCCTCCTCATCCCCTACACCTCCACTCCTACCCTGCTTCCTAGGGCTTAGCTGACGCGCTGAGTCTGGTTCGCTCTCCCTCCCGTGCCCGGGGTCTCTGCCTCCACCTGCTGGACAAACCGGGTATTCACCATGTTGACCCAGGGACCCAGGGTCACACTGAGAACTTGGCAGAGAATTAGTGCTCAGGGGGCTGCCAGGCTGGCAGAAACTCGAACCCATCCCCTGCCTTTCCCACGTGGGAATCGAGGCCCTCCGGAGAAAGGACTTGCTAGAAGTAGAAACTATAACTGCTGACTCCAAGTCCAGACTCCAAGTCTACTCTTTTTTTTTCTTTTGTTTTAAACTGGGGTATAGTTGTTTCCAAGTCTACTCTTGACGCTGCTGGTTCTCTGCCTGGAGGGTGGCTTCAGTCTGACAGGGGAGAATGGGGGTGGTGTGTCGGAGGTAGGTTATTTCTCTCCTGGCTCCCAGAGAAAGAGCTCTGAGTTCCAGTCCCAGCTCTGCTGAACTACGCAGCTGCTTTCCCATCTGTCAGATGGAACCCTGGCTGCTCCCTGCCCCACCTGCCTCACCAGGTGACTGTAAGCATCAGGTGAGGTGCTGCATGTGAAGACGCCTGATGGTAAAGCTGCCTGCTGGCCTGCCCTCTCTCCAGGGTCCCTGGCATCCATCGGGGGGCAGGACGTGGTCATTATGGCAGCCCCGGAGAACACCACCGTGGTGTCTGGCCAGAGCGTGGTGATGGAGTGTGTGGCCTCTGCTGACCCCACCCCTTTCGTGTCCTGGGTCCGACAGGGTAAGTGGAGGGAGGGGACCTGAGGGCATGGGAGAGGAAGGGTGTGGCATCTCACGCATCCCCAAGTCAAGGAGCTATAAGGGTGACCATGCAATAGTCACCGACCTTTGGTATGGTAGGAACTAACTCCTGTCCCAGGGCTGAGTGTGGGTAGGGAGCCTGGAGAAAATTAATCATCTATCCGTGTAGCAAGTTTCCTTTACGAAGTGCGCTAAGTCTGCCACTCACAAAATCACTCTTGAGACTTTACTTGGGGGGTGGGGCACTGGGCTCGGTTTTCCACGCTATGTTTCCAGTCCTCACAACAGTCAATGTGTGAGAGCTGGAAAGGGGCCAGCAAGTCAGGTGGAACTTGGACCCTCTGCTGGTCTGTTTAACTACACAGCACCTCCTGGTCCACCCAGTGTGCTGCCGCCTTTGTGTGCCTGGCTTCATGCTGGGCACAGTGAATAAAAAAGGCGGGGGCCTGCCCTCTGAACTCACAGTCTGTTTGAGGGAGATAAGCACACATCCATGACGAGACGCTTGACAGTATCAGGCAGCAAGTGATGAGTGCCAGGTGGGAATGCGTTACAGGAGATGCTATCGATGCTATCAGGGTAATGAGGGTGCTGGCCAAACGTCACCTTGCAGTCTACTGAGCATGCAACCTACTCTCCTGCTAGAGCCCTTGGAGGAGGGTAGGGGCCAGGGCTATTATTCCCGGTGGGCAGATGAGGAACCTGAGGCTCAGAGAGGAAGGTGGAAAGCCAGGACCCAAACTTTAGAGCCTGTTCTCTTTCTGGTACACCACCCCTTACAGCCCTGTATGGAAGAAAAGCAAGGATTATTTTTGTTTCCATTTCAGATAAGTGACTTGTGCCAAGTTGATGGCAGAAGTAAGTCTTAAACCCAGCTCTTTTTTTTTTTTTTTTTTTAATTTATTTATTTGGCTGCGCCGGGTCTTAGTTGCGGCATGCGGCATCTTTGTTGCGGCATACAGAATCTTTTAGTTGTGGCATGTGGGATCTAGTTCCCCGATCAGGGATGGAACCAGGGCCCTCTGCATTGGGAGCTCAGAATCTTACCCACTGGACCACCAGAAAGTCCCAAACCCAGCTCTTTTTACCCTTTTTACCCTGGTTCAGTATACGACCCCACACTGCCTTCTTTTTGTAAGTTTGTATCTCACATTCAAGACTATGTTGTGATGAATACATAGAGTTTAAAGAAAAATAATAACCCAAATGACTGCATACCCCCACCGAGCTGATGAGAAAGAACAGTGCTGGTATCTGTGCCTCCCTGACCTGCCCGGCCTCCATGGACTTGTGACACTTACCTAGTTAGGGGGATCCTGGGGCCAGCAGGACCCTCATACTATTAATGCAGTAAGCTTGTGGTGTCACCCGGAAGTTCTATTATCAGTGTTTCTCAAATCCTGACCAGGCATCAAGATGAACCAGGGAGCTTCTTTTTTTTTTTCAGTTTTTAATTTTTTAAAAAATTTTTATTGGAGTATAGTTGATTTGCAATGTTGTGTTAGTTTCAAGTGTACAGCAAAGTAAATCAGTTATACATATACATATAGCCACTCTTTGTTAGGTTCTTTTCCCATATAAGTCATTCCAGAGTATTAGGTAGAGTTCCCTGTGCTATACAATAGGTCTTTATTAGTTGTCTATTTTATACATAGTAGTGTGTACTATATGTCAGTCCCAATCCCAGGGAGCATCTTAAAACTGCGGACTCCTTCCATTTATGCCTGGAGAGTCATGACCCAGGATTTTTAATGCTTAACAAGTGTCCGAGTTCCTTCTACAGAAAGTGTGGTCTTTGGACCTACCTCCTGGGCAGTTAGAAATGCAGAATCTGGGGTGCCCTAGGCCTCTGCATCTTAACAAGGTCTCCTGAGATTCTGTGATTTGTGTACACAGTAAGGATTTGAGAATTGCTGTCCCAGAGGGTCCTGACACCTGTGGCTCTGGGATCTCACTTGGAGAAACTCTGCTAATGCACTCCTGGACAGAGACTGGGAAGAGAGAAGCTGGAAATGGACTTCATTCCTGCCCCTGGGCACTGTTCCTTTTCTAGGAACTTACTCAACTAAGTCAGGGGAGGGGCATTGCTTTTTTGTTTTGTTTTGTTTTCTTCTGATGGCAAAAGTTGTATGTATTCGTTGTAGAAAACTACGGAAAAGGAGAAACAGAAAACATCCCACCACTCGGAGATTAAAATTGTTAACATATGAGCATATTTTCTTCCAGATTTTTTTCTATGCACATGTACATTTTCCCCCCAAATTGAAAGCATGCTCTACTTAAATTCCAAGTCCTATTTTCATCAACACTATATCATAAACATCTCTCCATCTTTAAATTTTTTTCGAAAATAATTTTAATAACTATGATAGTCCATCATTTGAATGTCGCCATAATTTAAGTTGCTAGTTCCTGCTATTGAATTTTTAAGTCCTTCCCAGTTGTCCACTATTACAGTTAACACTGCAGTGATCAGCTCCCCACCAGAGTGCCCACAAGTGGAATCCTGGCTTCAGGGTCAAGGTGGAGCCCCTGTTAGCCCTATCAGCATTTACCCTTTCTCAGGCATTGCAACATACTATTTTTAAAAACTTTCCCAATTTGATGGGTGAAAATGAACATCTGTGTTTTGATGTGCATTTCTTTGATTTTGTGAAGTTGAACACTTTTTTGTTTATTGGCCATTTGCATTTCTTCCCTGGATTTTCTGTTCAGGTCCATAAGGGAAGGGCTTTTAAAATGGTTTTCACTTCACATCAAGATAAAAGTCTGCACAGATTCAGATCTTTGGTTCTGGTCCAGACCTTTCCAGCCGTATGTTCATCATAGCACTGGGCTAAGACCATATGGGAGGAGTGTCCTTCTTGAGAGAAATGAATTTAATAATAATGGTAATGGTAATAACTGACTGGTGTACCGAGCACTTCTTATGTGCCTGCATCGTGCCAGCCAGTCCCACAGACTTTATTCGTTACACTCTCAGAGAAGCCCTTCCAGCGAGGGACCATCTCCCCATTTTACAGACAGAGACACTAAGGGCTCAGAGGAAGTCATCGGTCTAGCAAGTGGAGGAATTGAGATCCTAGCCAGCGACTGTTGTGTTCTCTTAACCCGGGTGTAGAGGGTCTCCCGAGGTCCGGAGAGTGGATGGAGGGGCAGCCCTCAGCTCCCCCCTCCAGCGCTCTCCCTCCTCCCGCAGATGGGAAGCCCATCTCCACCGATGTCATCGTCCTGGGCCGCACCAACTTACTAATCACCAGCGCGCAACCCCGGCACTCCGGCGTCTACGTCTGCCGAGCTAACAAGCCCCGCACGCGCGACTTCGCAACCGCAGCCGCAGAGCTCCGCGTGCTGGGTGAGGAGGGGAGGAGGGTGAGGGAGGGCGAAGGACCGCGGAGTAGGTGTGGGGGAGACCGGACTGGGGCGGGTTAGCTAGGGTGGGGCCGGGAGGGGAGGGGAGGGGCGTACAGAGGCGAGTGGGTGTGTCAGAGGGACTGAGGGGGCGGTGCTGGAGGATGAAAAAGGGATAGGGCGGGGGGTGGGGCATTGGAGGGCACAGACTAGGTAATTAGAGGAGAGGAAGTGGTGGAAAGAGATTGGAGGATGGAGTGGGGGCAGAGGGGAGGGGTGGTCTGAGTGGGACCCAGGTAATGTGGGGAGGGGTGGGACTGAGGTTACTGGGGGGAGATGGAGTGGTCTGGGAGGAGAAAACTAGGGGCAGGGTTGCTCAGGGCTGGCTGAGGGGTAAATCTGATAGGTAAGGGATACTGGGAGGTAGGGGAGAAGGAAATGGTAAGTGCGGGAGCAGGGTTAGATCCAGGTGGAACCAGGGTATTTAGGGGAGGCCGAGGAGGCCTGGGGACAACTCGGAGGGGGAAAGAGAATGGGCATTGTGGGGCTGGGGTAAAAGGCGGAAGAGAGCTAGAGCTGCACTGCCGAGGGTATTTTGGGGGTGAGTCAGGAAGAGGTTAGAATGAGTGGAGGGGATGCGGGAGTCCGTCGGGTATTGGGGGGCGGGAGCCAGTGCCCCTGGTGGCCGGAGCGCGCGGTCAGCGTCCTCCTCCCCTCCCCCAGCCGCCCCTGTCATCTCGCAGGCGCCGGAGGCGCTGTCACGGACGCGGGCGAGCACCGCGCGCTTCGTGTGCCGCGCGTCCGGGGAGCCGCGGCCCACGCTGCGCTGGCTGCACGACGGAGAGCCGCTGCGGCCCAACGGGCGCGTCAAGGTGCAGGGCGGCGGCGGCAGCCTGGTCATCACGCAGATCGGCCTGCAGGACGCCGGCTACTACCAGTGCGTGGCCGAGAATGGCGCGGGCACGGCGTGCGCCGCCGCGCCTCTGGCAGTAGTGGTGCGCGAGGGGCTGCCCAGCGCCCCCACGCGGGTCACCGCCACGCCGCTGAGCAGCTCCGCCGTTCTGGTGGCCTGGGAGCGGCCCGAGCTGCACAGCGAGCAGATCATCGGCTTCTCCCTCCACTACCAGAAAGCACGGGGTAAGTCTCCCCGGGGCTAAGAGGCCCCAGCAAAGACCTACGCCCGGGGGCTCTGGTGGGCGGGGAGGGGCGCGGCACAGGCTGGATGATTGAAGGGTTGCCTCTGGGGGTAGGATAGAACGGGATGGGGTGGGAGCCCACAGGAGAGACCTGTGTAGAAATGGGTTGGTACATTTTTCCCTCAGCCAGTTTGTTATAAGAGAGGAGGGAGAGGATGCTTCTCCCAGGGAAAATGGCTTTGCATTCCTGGAGCCAGCTTGTTAATTGCAGCAGGAGTCACTTCAGTTAGAGGCTAGAAGAGACTTCCCAACCAGTGGAGGAATTAATACAGTGGGACTAGAAGTCAGGGGAGTTTATACTCTCCCACCGAGATTATCTGGAATGATTTAGCTATAAAGAGGCTATTCTAGGGACTGGGACAATAAGAAGGATCCCTAGACAGCTTCCAGCTGGCAAGCCCTCGGGGGTTGCTCTGTGACAGACCGTTTGTCCTCTAACCCTAACCCACTCAGGCATGGACAATGTGGAATACCAGTTTGCAGTGAACAATGACACCACTGAGCTACAGGTTCGGGACCTGGAACCTAACACAGACTATGAGTTCTACGTGGTGGCCTACTCGCAGCTGGGGGCCAGCCGCACCTCCACCCCAGCACTGGTCCACACGCTGGACGATGGTAGGGCCTCTGCACCTGCAGTGGGCACCTTGGGGCCCAGAGAATTCCCTGGGGATGGTAGCTCAGCTTCACTTTACTAGTGTTCGCCAAGGCACTTTAACCTGCCTTATGCCATATTTTGTGCCCTGTAAGGGAGTGGGCAAGGGTTCTTCTCCTTAATTTACAGTTGGGAAAACTGAGGCCCAGAAAATTAGTGACTTGCCCAAGGTCAGTAGTACAGCTGGGACTTGAGCCCAGGTCTCATGATTGCCTGTATCAGATGGCCCTTCTCCCCGACACCCACGTACCATCCAGTCAGACAGGAGCCAGTGACAATCCATCGGATATAGACGATTGTGCCCCCAACCTTATTCTGGCTTCAGGGTGGTAAGGATGTCCCCTCATCTCCAGCTTGGGGCTCCCCTGAGAGGCTCCCTTTCCTCCCTCAGATCCTGGTCCTGGGCCTACTTCTGACTTGCTGTGTGACCTGGGCAAGTCTCTGACCGCTCCTGGGCCTCACCTTCCACGTCGGTGGAGCAGAGCTCACGTAGATGTTCTTCTGTCTCAGTCCCCAGTGCAGCGCCCCAGCTCTCCCTGTCCAGCCCCAAGCCCTCGGACGTCAGGGTGGTGTGGCTGCCCCTGCCCCCCAGCCTGAGCAATGGGCAGGTGGTGAAGTACAAGATAGAGTACGGTCTGGGAAAGGAAGGTGAGTGGGGGCAGGACACGGGCTCCACCTGCCTGGGAATCATTGGTGTGAAGGGTTAGTGGCTGGGGGCCTGAGCAGAGCTGTGGAGTAGGGCAAGGTGAACCTGGAAAAGGGGAAGGTGGGCTGGGGGTTGGGAGGGCAGGAGAGAAAGGGAAGGTGAAGAGGGCTAGCTCAAGACAGGGAGAGGCCTGGGGTCTAGCCCCACCTCCTCTACGGCTGCGGTACATGATCCTGTTGAGTCGCTGCCTCAGTGTCTTTGTCTGTGAAATGAGGCAGGTAACCTAGGTAATCCCTGGGGTCCCTTCCGGCTCAAAAAGCAGATGGGGGATAGGGAGGTGGAGGGTATGCTTGTGGGATTGAGAGAAATGAGGCATGGGTGTGTGTGTGTTAGGACAGATGTCAGGGATCTAGGGGAGGAGGTGTGAAAGGGATGGAGAGATTGGAGAAGGCGAGTGGCTGGGGGCCAGGATGAGGGTGGGGAGGGTGGGAAGGGTGAGGAAGGGGGCTTGGGTGGTTGGCAGGGCTCCGGAAGGTAGGTGGTGCTTGATGGCCTTCACAGCCAGTGCCTCATGCCAGCACCCTGGTGTGTGTGGGGGGGTGGTTACTGACAGCTCCTGGGGTGGTGGGGAGTGTGTGCCACGATTCTTCCCGCTCTGAGCCGAGGCTGATGGCTGTGTCAGCCAGAGTTGGAGGCCCAGGAGTCAGCCCCGGAGCATGGAGTCCGTCCGGGCACTGAGAGTTTTAGGCTCCGATGGGCCCTGAGGAACCAGGACCTGAGGTGGAAAAGTTGGTGTAGGGGAGTTTAGGAGTCCTGGTCCTTAGGTGGCCACCCAGAGCCAGTCTCTTCTGTCCCAGCAGATCAGATTTTCTCCACCGAGGTGCCAGGGAATGAGACACAGTTTACACTGAACTCGCTTCAGCCCAACAAGGTGTATCGAGTGCGGATTTCGGCCGGCACAGGGACCGGCTATGGGGCCCCCTCCCAGTGGATGCAGCACAGGACGCCCAGTGTGCACAACCAGAGCCACGGTACGGGGTCAGAGGGGACAGTCGGGGTGATGCGTGTGCCTATGTATGTATGTGTATGTTTGCCCTTGGAACCCAGACCCAGCCGCCTCCTCCATCAGAGACGTTCCATGGCTCCCCCTGCTCGATGGGCGCAGGAGGATGGGTGAAGAGGCGAAGGGCTAGCTTTTGCAGACACCCCTGAGTTCCTGTTTCCTTTCCATCTGCTGTGTGACTTTGGACAGACCATTCACAACTCTAAGACTTCATTTACTGCCAGGTGTGGCATGAGGACTAATTAATGTAAACCAAATGTTTAGTACATAATTAAAACTTGTTAAATAGTAGCTGTTTCCATGATTATGATCGTTGTGGGTTTGGCTGAGAGGCCCAATAGTACAGTGGTTAAATGCAGTCAAAACCTGGCGCACATACTATCTGTGTGTCCTTGGGCAAGTTACTTTTAGGAGCCTCAGTTTTCTTACCTGTAAAACAGGGATAATAGTACTTTTGTTATTTTATAGGGTTGTGAGAATGAAGTTAAAATACATGGTACAAAGTGCTTAGAACAGCATCAGACACATAGTGAGCTGCCCCACTCTTAGGCTTCCAAGTAGGGCTCCCCACTTCCAATGGCTCCTTCCCTCCTTCCCGGCTTTAGCAATCCCTGGTATCCCCTACCTGCCAGTACTCATGCATTCATCCCTTCAGAAGAATTCTAGAGCCCTGCTCTAAGCGAGGTGCTGTCAGCCCTGCCCCAGAGGTGCTCCTTGCTGACCTCTCTGCAAATGCCCAGGAGACATCCCTGCATTCCTAGCACTTGTGGAAGAGTGAGGTGTGCTCTAGGCCAAGCCTGGGCCTGGCCCTTAGGCCGGTGGCTGAATGGTGATGCACTGGGAGAAGGCTGGCAAGGCTCTCACTCAATGCTCTCTTCCTGCTTTTTGCTTCCTCGTGTCCCTTCCCTCCTCCCTTCCTGCGCCTCTGCCCGCAGTCCCTTTTGCCCCTGCAGAGCTGAAGGTACGGGCAAGGATGGAGTCCCTGGTCGTATCATGGCAGCCACCCCCTCACCCCGCTCAGATCTCTGGCTACAAACTCTACTGGCGAGAGGTGGGGACAGAGGAGGAGGAGGCAGGTGGCGAGGGCCCTCCAGGGGGCCGTGGAGACCAGGCTTGGGATGTGGGGCCTGTCCGGCTCAAGAAGAAAGTGAAGCAGTATGAGCTGACCCAGCTAGGTGAGGAGGGCCAGGTGGGGAGGGAGGAGATGGACATAGCTCCAGTGGGAGACTGGACAAGCGGGGTCAGTGGCTGGAGATGGCCCCAGAGGCTCCTCTAGCCGGTGAGTGACCCCCACGACCTTCCCCAGTCCCTGGCCAGCTGTACGAGGTGAAGCTCGTGGCATTCAACAAACACGAGGATGGCTATGCAGCAGTGTGGAAGGGCAAGACGGAAAAGGCTCCCGCCCCAGGTGAGGGGGCTGGGGAAGCCGGGGAGGAGGTCTCAGTCAACAGGGTGGCCTCCTTTCCCTTTCCTCTGGGCCAGCTCTGGTGGTCGGGTTGTCTGGAAGCTTCAGCTACCCGCAAACCCATTCTACTAGGCTCTTCTAGGTTACAGAGAGAAGCTCCAGCTTGTGCACTGTCTTGTAGGTCTGCTTACCGTGTTTTCATTATCCATGAACAGTGCTGATATGGAAGGTTTGGACAGAGAAAAACCCCATGGCTCATCAGTGACTTCTGACTCCAAGTTTGACCTTTAAACAATTTTTAAAATACATCCACCTACATTGTACCGTCTGTCAGATTATTCCTCTGCTCTAGGGAGGGAGGGTATCCCTTTGTGGCCCACCAGGAAACTGAGGCTCAGGATCTTAGTTGGGGCTGCTGCAACAAAACATTATAGACTGGGTGGCTTGAACAACCAGTTCTGGAGGCCGGGACATCCAAGATCGAGACCCCAGCAGAGCCAGTGTCTGGTGAAGACCTGCTTCCTGGTTCGTAGACCATAGGCCATCTTCTCGCTGTGTCCTCACATGGCAGAAAGAGGGTTGGAGAGTTCCCTGGGGTCTCTTTTATAAGGGCACTGTTATAGAATGAAAATGTGTGTCACCCCAGAATTCGTATGCTGAAACCCTCCACTCCAATGTGATGTAATAGGAGGTAATTAGGGTTAGGTGATGTCATGAGGGTGGAGCCTTCATGAATGGGATTAGCACCCTTATAAGAGTCACAAGAGAGCTTGCTTCCCTTTTCTGCTCTGAAGATACAGTGAGAAGTCAATTGTCTATAACCCAGAAGAGGGCCTTCACCAGAACATGACCATGCTGGCACCCTGACCTCAGACTCCAGAACTGTGAGAAATAAATTTCTGTTGTTTATAAGTCACCCAGTCTACGGTTGTTTGTTATAGTAGCCTGAACAGACAAAGACAGGCACTAATCCCTAAGACAGGACCCACCATATGTTCAAATTTCAACATATGAACTTTGGGGGGACACAAACATTCATTCCATGAAACTTTTCTATGTCCTTTACAAACAGTAACTAATTTAATCCTCATAACAACCCTATGAGGTGTTGGTACTATTATCTGCCCCACTGACAGAATGGGGAATGGAGACACAGAGAGGTTAATTAACTTCTCCATAGTCACACAGCTACTAAGTGGCAGAGTTGGAATTTGAATCAGGGCAGCCTGGCTCCAGAATCTGTGCTCTTAATTGCCATGATTTGCTCTCTCTCTATTACATTCCTACATACTAGTGTTCCACAGTCTGCAATCTGTATGCTCTTGGCAAAAATCACTTAAATTCTTGGGAGCCTCAGTTTCCTCATCTGTGAAGTGAGAATGGTGCCACCCAACTCACAGGATCAAAAGAGACTGGGTAAAAGAAAGTGCCCTGGGAACTGCAAACCACTATACATATTGAGGGATGAGTATCCTCCCTCCATTCCCACACTCTAATTTTCACCCTCCAGACCTGCCCATCCAGAGAGGGCCACCCCTGCCCCCTGCCCATGTCCATGCAGAATCAAACAGCTCCACATCCATTTGGCTTCGGTGGAAAAAACCAGACTTCACCACAGTCAAGATTGTCAACTACACGGTGCGCTTCAGCCCCTGGGCTCAGGAATATGCCTCCCTCGTCACCTATTACCCCAGGTGGGAAGAGGGGGCTGATGCTGCGAAGGGGGAGGAAGAGCAGACGGTGGGGAAGAAGGCAGCAGGTGGTCATGAGGAGAGGGGACCTGGGGGTTCAGGGACATTTCATGACTCATGTGTTAAACTGGGGGCACATTGAGGGTCTGATGACCAGATGGTGACAGATGGAAAAGGGGGGAATGCCTCCCTGGTCACCTATTACACCAGGTGGGAAGAGGGGGCTGATGCTGCGAAGGGGGAGGAAGAGCAGACGGTGGGGAAGAAGGCAGCAGGTGGTCATGAGGAGAGGGGACCTGGGGGTTCAGGGACATTTCATGACTCATGTGTTAAACTGGGGGCACATTGAGGGTCTGATGACCAGATGGTGACAGATGGAAAAGGGGCATCCATCCAGTCCCCTCCCCTCCCAGGAGAGCCTTGAACTCAACCCTAGGAAATGTCACGCAGGACAGACCTATTTCTTCAACTTCACGTGATGGGGAAGAGACAGCCCAGCTGCTGTCCTGAGAGGTCCCCAGTTAGATGGGGAGACAGAGACCCTGACCTGGGGAGCTGTTTGTTTGGCAGAGGAAACAAAACATAAAAAGAAATAGATATATACAGTTGCAGCTGAAGTAAAATTAAGTCAAGGATAAGAAGCATCAGAGATGGTCCCTTGGGTAGAGAATGATGTGGATTAATCCAGGAATGTTTCCTGGAAGAGGGGCCTGGCTTGGGGATTGGACATGGAGGCTGATACATCCAGACCTCTCTGCAGGTCCTCTGGATGGTGTTAGTGGCCCCCAGGGGGCTGGGGTAGGGGATTAGATTTGGAGGGGCCTGCCCTGCTAGGAGGGTATGCCTGAGAGCCCTGGTCACGTTTCTTGCCTTGGCAGCTCTGGAGAAGACATCCTCATTGGCGGGCTGAAGCCATTCACCAAATACGAGTTTGCGGTACAGTCCCACGGCGTGGACATGGACGGGCCTTTTGGCTCTGTAGTGGAGCGCTCCACCCTGCCTGACCGTGAGTGGCCACCAGTCCATCTTTCAGGGAACTCCTTCTTGCCCCAGCATCCCTCTTGTGAAGCGCCCCTCAGAACCCCATGAGTGTCCATCGTTTGCTTTGCATCTCTGTAGGCAGTCCTGTGCTGGTCTTAACCATTTACTCACAGACATTAACATAAGATTTAGAGGAGTGGTTTCTTTTAAGAGGCTGTGGGAAGACCTCAGCGAGCTGTGAGGGGGGCCAGGTCTGGAGGCAGGCATCCTGGGTTCTGCCTTTGGGTCCCTGTCATCCCCCTGACACACACTGAGACTTAGGCAGTCCCCTTCCCCACGAAGGGCCTGTGGGTCCTCATCTGTCAAAAGAGAGGATGGGACCATTCGCTTTGCAGGTCTGTGACTCTGGAACCCTCTGGAAATGCATCTGAAGACAAGTGGATTTTTTTTTTTTTCTTTTTTGTGGTACGCGGCCCTCTCACTGCTGTGGCCTCTCCCGCTGCGGAGCGCGCAGGCTCAGCGGCCATGGCTCACGGGCCCAGCCGCTCCGCGGCATGTGGGAGCTTCCCAGACCGGGGCAGGAACCCGTGTTCCCTGCATTGGCAGGCGGACTCTCAACCACTGCGCCACCAGGGAAGCCCGACAAGTGGATTTTTGTTCTCACAGCAGAGGCTCTTTGGTGCTTCCTGTCCTAAGACTGCTCACCTTTCTATTGACAGACCTCTGTCCCTGACCTGAAATAGGAAGACACGTGCAGGGTAGGGTGGGGAGGCCCTCTACCCTCATGGATTCACTTTTTAAAAAACTGCTTGCAAGTTGTTTCTCACCCACGCATGACTTCAGTTCTTATGGTCTTAAACTGCGTGCGGAGTTTAGGGAGACCCCGGTGTTTTCTCCAAGGAGACTCTATGATACTGGATCCCCAGGACAACTGACCAGGCTACAGAGGGGGGAATGTTTTCTCCTTTCACAGGTGGGGAGACTGGAGCCTGAGAAGCAGAAAGTCACCTAGGATCAAGGAGGGTTCTGGCAGCCCGTGGTGCTGTGGCTCTGTTATGCCTTAGAGCCCTGGGTCCCCATCCCACCCTCTGTTGGGCCTCGAAAACCTGAGCCCCCAAATCTCTGTCCCTTTCCAACACACCAGCCACCTTGTGTCCCTCCTTTTCCCCCTTCCTCATTCACTCCTGCCCCCCAGGATCAATTTCTTCTCTGAAAAAAAAACCACAAAGCCTTCCAAGGTGCTGCTTCTCCCACTGCGGTTCCCCCGACCCTGAGGACTTGTGCCAGAGACAGGCGTAGACAGAGGCTACCCGGGGGCATCAACCAACTTTACTTGAAGATTTCGGGTGGCAAGGGGAGTTAGGAGCTTTAAATGATAAAGTATTTCAAACACTATTTTTATATTAAATGTTACCACAGAATAGATGAATTTAAAAGAAAAGGTAAGCCTTTCAAAAACTTCTGAGCTCTGCCCCCAGGTCCCTAGAATACCAAGGGTTGAAGACAGTGTCTTCAACCCTTGGAAGTATTTGGGTGTGGAAGTTTGAGGAGCTCTGTTCCAAGGAGTAGAAAAGAGTTTCTGAGAGGGGAGGAATGGTGGTGAAGCCCCCTCCTCAACTGTATTCCAGAAAGTCCCCAGTGAGAGACCAGACCTCATTCTGCTTTGTGGTTTGTGGTTTGTCCCAGTGAAGGAGGAAGCAGGGAGGCCAAATCCTCATGCCCTGGCTCCCAGCTGCCCCCAGAGCTGGGGCTGTCAGTGACCCTGCCTCTCCCCGTCTCCCCTCCTGACCCCCAGGGCCCTCCACGCCCCCATCCGACCTGCGCCTGAGGCCCCTGACGCCATCCACCGTTCGGCTGCACTGGTGCCCCCCCTCGGAGCCCAACGGCGAGATCGTGGAGTATCTGATTCTCTACAGCAGCAACCGTACCCAGCCTGAGCACCAGTGGACCCTGCTCACCACCGAGGGTGAGGGCTCGCACCCCACGGCATCTGAGCAAGAGTCTCCCCACCCTCCACCCACGTTCCAGCCTCCCCAGTGGCTGGTTAGTAGTGAGCTTGCTGCTGAGGTTTGTTCCAGGAGGAGCAGGCAGAAGCTACCGCCTGAGCGGGAGAAGCAGATTCTCTCAGGGCCGCTTCCCAGCCCATCCCTGTAGCCCACCCCGACCCAATTCACCAAGCCTGCTCTCCCTGCCTTCCCCACGCCCCCCTGCCAGGAAACACCTCCAGTGCTGAGGTCCACGGCCTCGAGAGCGACACCAGGTACTTCTTCAAGATGGGGGCGCGCACGGAGGTGGGGCCTGGGCCCTTCTCTGGCCTGCAGGATGTGATTACTCTCCAGGAAAAGCTGTCAGGTAAGAGGCAGGAAGGCAGGAAGGGGTGGGGTCCATCCTGGGGCAGCCCAAGCTCTCCAGAGCCCCCCCCCCCACCCCCACCCCGCCACAGTTGACTTCTAACCCTCAAGCCATCTCTTCCAAGGTCCTGCCTCTGGGCATGGCAACACTTCCATTGTTTTGGACAAGTGCCCTCTTCACCTGGTGTGGAGAGGACAACTTTGAAGGGAAGATGGGTGTGGTTCAGTGGTGATTCAGTTGAGAGGTCAGATTTGCGGGAGACTGGCTTGGTTGCTTTGATTGGAGAACTGGCTTGGAAAGGTGACGAGATTTATGGGGTGGAGGTCTTGGGCAGTGGGACTGGCTACGTAATCTGCAGGGCCCGGTGTGAAAGGAGAATGTGGGGTCCCTTATTTAAAAAGGGGGAAGAATTTCCAGATGGTGACAGCAGAGCATTAAACCAAGCCCAGAGCCCTTCTAAGCATGGGCCACGTGCCCCTGCAGGTGTTGCACACCTGCAAAACCAGCCCTGTTAGGCAGGCAAGAGGTGTGTTTCACTGAAAGGCCAGGCTGATGGGGAGGAACCACAACTTCCGTATGTCCAGTGAGAGAGAGGTAGTGGTGGTCTCTGTGAGTCCATGGGGCCCTCCTGTCCTTGCATGAGAAGATTTCACGTGTCCAAAGGGTGAGACTCAGGCCAGGGGTCTCTGGAGGAAGCCACAAGTCCTGGTCTATGAACCCCGGGTTCTCTCCTGTCCTCCATCTGTTCTGTTCCCTCCCTCTCCCCCGCCAGACTCTTTGGACATGCACTCTGTCACGGGCATCATCGTGGGCGTCTGCCTGGGCCTCCTCTGCCTCCTGGCCTGCATGTGCGCTGGCCTGCGCCGTGGCCCCCACCGGTGGGTGAAGGAACCAGTCTGACCTCACAGAGGAGAGGTTTCCAGAAGGGCTGCAGAGATGAGGGAGCAGGGAAAGTGGCCATGACTTGCTCTGGGCACTCCCAGGAGCCCCATTAAAGTTGACTCTGGGATGAAGGGGTTGGGGGTGATGACCTCATGAGAGTAGGGGGTGGGTTTAGGGAAGCCCCCAAGCATATCCCCTCAGCAGGGGCAGGCGTAGGTAGAGCTGCCTCTTTGCCGCTTCCTTGGTAGCTGCCAGCATCTTGCAGAGAGGGACCCCAAATCTCCAGATGCCTGGAGCCAAGGGAGGAAGGACCCCAGTGTAGTGTCATAGCTGTTTTGAACAATCCCAGAATTTCTTATTCATTGCACAGACCGGGAAATTAAGTCTCAGAGATGGGTAGGAACCTGCCCAGGGATACAGGCTGGACTAGATACCAGTCTCACCCCCACCCCTCTCTTTGACCACTGTGCTGTCCCCCATCTTCCCTTCCAGGGAAGCCCTCCCGGGCCTGTCCTCCACCGCCACTGCTGGGAACCCCACGCTGTACTCCCGAGCCCGCCTTGCCCCCCCCAGCCCCCCGGCTGCCCATGAACTGGAGTCCCTTGTGCACCCCCGTCCCCAGGATTGGTCCCCACCGCCCTCAGACATCGAGGACAGGGCTGAAGTGCACAGCCTTATGGGTGGTGGCGGTCCTGACTGCCGGGCTCACTCCAAGAGAAAGGTGAGCCTGGGTAGGTCCGAGCCCCACACTGTGGCTCATGCCCAAATAAGACACCAGGGGGCGCGAGAGCGCAATGTGTGACCCCGTGAGAGAGCCCCTTCCCTCCTCCCCCCTCCCCTTCCTGGGCCAGCTGCAGAAGAAAAAGCATACTCTCCCTCCTCCTTGAAAGGGTTGGGAGGGCGGGCAGGGAAGCAGATGGGCCTCCATCCCTGGCAGAATAGGTCAGCCTGGTTCTCAGGAAGGAGGGGAGGGCCCCCGATGGGCTGTCTGCGGTTGACTCGGGGTGGCCAGAACACCCAGATCCCTCCTTATCCTGGGAGCTGGGGAGACCTCTAAGACCCGGCTCTCCCCAGTATGGGGACAAGAGGCTGGTCAGTTTGGAGGTGGTCAAGTGGGACCGGGATCCGGATAAGGTGGGCCCACGCAGGGCAGGTCCCCTCCATCCTAGCAGTGGTGGCTCATCCTGCATTCCCTGACCAGCCAGCTCAAACCCCTGAGTCTTTCCTCATCCTTTCCCTGCCTCTGTGGTGAAGGAGACCCTGCCTGGCTCAGAAACCTCTGGGCTTTTCTGCAGGAGGATCTTTCTATCCTCAAATTCACCCCCAGACTCTCAGCCCATTCTGTGCTCCTCCCTACAGCCTTGGGGAGGGAGGTAGCAAGGGGGCCTAGAGAGTCTGTGAAGGGAGCTCCATCCACTTCCGTCTCATACTTCACAGTCAAGCTCTCAATGCTTCCACTTTTCTTCCTGTGCAGATCTCCTGGGCTCAGCACGGTGGGCTGAGCTGGGCAGGTTCCTGGGCAGGCTGTGAGCTGCCCCAGGCAGGCCCCATGCCCTCTCTGACCCGGGCCCTGTTGCCCCCTGCTGGAACCGGGCAGACGCTGTTGCTGCAGGCTCTGGTGTATGACGCCATAAAGGTCAGCGTCCCGGGAGGAGGGGGGAGGGAAGGAGAGGAGGGTCCCCGTGTTTGTGCAGAGTAAGTAGTGAATCCTCTGGAGAGCCCTGGTGGTAACTTCCCTGGGGCTAAAAGTCTAGCCAGCAGATCCCTGGAGCCTCTAAAGGTGAGTGGATGGAGGGCAGGCCAGTTTGGGAGAACCTGTATTTCTGTGGGTTGGGGACAATCCCTCCTCTACCTAGACGTAAGTGGGCCACAGCAGAATTACATGGATCTGACGGTGCACCTGGCCTGAGTGCACTAAGCCCTTCCTCCTATTCACTGAGGCCCTGACTGAATCTGGTACTCTTGGAACTGCTCAGCAAGGGCAAATGAGTAGTATTTCCCTGCCTTCCCATGGATCTGATCATCATCTCTTTTAGGACAGTCACTGTTCTTCCTTTACCAACTCCCATGTAATATATAACGGGCTCTGGGCTGGGGGTCAGTCTCTCTGCATCCCAAGAATGATGGTTATCCTTCTGATGGTCACTCTCAGTGACGGTTTTGTGTTCTCTTCTCTGACCAGGGCAATGGAAGGAAGAAGCCGCCCCCAGCCTGCAGGAACCAGGTGGAGGCCGAGGTCATTGTCCACTCTGACTTTAGTGCATCCAAAGGGAACCCTGACCTCCACCTCCAAGACCTGGAACCTGAGGATCCGCTGCCTTCAGAGGCTGCTGACCTCACTTTGGGTGTTATGAATTTCAGGCAAGGGGCAGACTGGCTGGACAGGGAGCTGGGAGGGTGTGAGCAGGCAAGCCCTGGGCCAGACAGACTTACCTGCCTGCCAGAGGCAGCCAGTGCTTCTTGCCCCTACCCGGACCTCCAGCCCAGTGAGGCTCTGCAGGAGGCCCCAGGGAACAGCTGCCAGCCAAAGGCCCCCTGCCCTCCAGCAGCCAGCCCAGGCCTGCCCAGAGCCCCAGTCTCCTCCTCTGCTTAGCTCCCTCGAGGGCACAGTTTGGGGCAGGCTGGTATGGATCATGGGACATGACACGTGTGGCCACACATGTACACGTGTCTGCCTGCAGGTACTGACCATCATCAAGCCATTTGGAGCCTCCTGGGGTGCTTTGGCTCAGGGGAGAGGAAGAAGTGGATTATTCACTCTTCCCCACCCGTGCTCTGTGACACGTGTGGTAGGCGAGAGACACGTGAAGCACAGCTATACGTGCTTGTACACGTGTGAAGCGCGTATGCGTGTGCTGGTTGGTGAGCTGGGAAACCTTGGCCCGGGCAGTGGTCACTACGGCCTACTCCGTCCTCCAGGTCAGGACAGTGCCCAGCCCTGTGGGCCCCCACCTCCGTCACCCAGCCTTCTATTACACACTCTGAGAGTGTCTCCAGTGCCCTGTCTGACAGAGACAGCCCCAGCCCACTTCCTGTCTGGCTGGGCTGAGTGCAAGCAGGCTCTGGATGTCTAACGCTTTAGCTGCATCACCTCTGCCATGTCCCCGGTGCCCAGGGTGACTCTGGCTCCCCTCAGAGCAACTCTGCATCTAGTGTTGTAATTGGGGAAGTGCCTGGTTTTGAAAATCTGCTTTCTCTTGCTCTCCCCTCCTGCCTCCCCGCTCACTCCTCTAGTGTCTGTCTCCAGTCGCCCTGCTCTCCCAATCCTAGTGCCCTTCTCTTCCTCCCTGATACCCTTTCTCTGTCTCCTTTTTCCGTCTGTCTCTGCTGTCTCTCCCACCTCTCCCACACTGTGTCATGTGGTTCTCCTGCCTGGGTTCAATCTCTGCATCCTCCCCTAACAACATGACTACCTCATGTCTGTTCAAGGCCAGAGCGTGACTCCTGTGTCTGCCATCCACTTCAGCCGTCATCCTCCCACCCCCTTCCCATCTGTGCCTCCGTAGGCCCCCTCCCCAGGCAAACTGCCTACCCCCAGTGCAGGTTTGGAAAAGACCTTTCAGCCTCCCTTGCATCTTTCTGTGATTGAGATCAGAGGGTTGTCCTTGGAGGGGATAAATGCAAGTCATACAAGGGCGTTTTTGAGACAAGGAAAGGGGAACACGACCCAGAAGCTTGGGGTAAAATTACTCCCTCCCTTCTAGGCAGGCAGGCAGATTTGCTGGACGGAGAGGTTTGGGGACCTTCCTTCCCAGTTGAAACTAGAAGGGTAGAACGGGGTGGAAATTAGGGGTTCCATGGCCCCACCGCTTCCCACTCTGTGCACCTTGAACATGAGCTGACGGCATGGAGGTGGAAGGAATCTCATCCTCTTGCAGTGCTGGAAGGGAGGGCTTCACACAGGACAAGAGTGATGGGCTCTTTTTATTTTGTCTTTTCTTTAAATTCAATCCTGAAGTCATTTTCTGTTGACCTACCACACAGGGACAAGCTTGACTTCTGTTTCCTGTGGAGAGAAAACAAGGTCATTTATTTGATTTTGCACCTCAGCCTCTCATAGGAGCATCGAGTATGCGGTCTTTTCTCCCTGCATTCATCTTTCCTAACTGAGCAGCACATCAAGGGTTAACTCTGGCTTCTGGGCCAAATTAGAAATAACCAGTCTATCTTTCCTTTTTCTTTTTTAAATGGTGAAATGTCTCTCAGCGGAGTTGCAGCTTTCTCAGACCCTTTCAGCATCTGTGTTTATTACACTCGGGTGTCACTCACGTTTGACATCCGCACCTACATTTCCTCCTCCTCCCCCTCCTTCAGGCAGCCTATGATAACACTAAAGATTATTAATGTTGGTTTTGTATCTCATTAGGACAGAATTGTCACTTGTACTATTTCTGTAGCATTCAGCATTGCTGTGGCTAACACTACTGTATATGTTTCATCACTGCTCTGAAGGTCAAAAGCTTCATTTTATTTTGCTGGTTTGATTTTTTTATTTTCTAAAGAAAAAAAAAAAACAAAACTGCCCTGAATTAAATGGCTGTTTTAACAGTAGGCTCTTAGCATTACACCACATAGTCATTTTTCATGTTCTTGTTTAACAGGCAGTGAGGTTCTGGTTTAAATTAAATAGCTGCAAATGAGACAATTTATAACCCATTAGGTTGGGTGGAAAATTGTTTCTCAAAAGCAAATAAGTAATAAATCTGGTATCTGCCTATAACTCACAGTTGATAAGAAAGTGGCCATTACTCACTAGCATTATATATGATTTGGGCTCTGGGTAATTTGGAAGTGTTAGGTTTGTGTCTTTGCAACAGTATTTTTATTAGAAAAGAGTCCATTGGCCTTTTACAGGGTATTAATCCCTTTGTCATCTACCATCGATGCCTTACGGTTTTTGAGTCTCATTTAAAAACCTTTTCTTGATGCATGACAAGTGTAATCGGTACCTGCTCATTTATTTGTCTGTAGTTTTGCTGTATTATTTAATTATTTTTCCAGTGTTTTTTTTCTCCTTACAAGTATGATATTCTTTAGTGTTAAGCCAAGGCATTGATCATGTATCTGTCCCTATAATGAGTTAATAAACTATTTTCCAAAAATGTTCTGTTTTGGAACCAAATGACTAGAATTTCCTCAGCCTTTCTCCACGAGAGAATGTATTTCCTACCAGGTAGGAAATGT